GTTGTATCCGACATATGGACAAAGAGCTTTTCGAATAGCTGCATCATTACTTTGTGATAAATTTGTCGCGTTAGAGACTGCTCGTCGAACTCGATTACGGCTACATTTAGTGGGTGGTGGACCTCGAACTGATTCAAGTTGATTAATATATTTTTCGTTTTCAAGTTCTGCTTTTTCACTAATATATTCAATGGCTGCTTGAAGTGCTGATCTTTGGTTGCCTTCTGGTAGTAATTCATATAGTGGAACAAGTCGATAAGATATTGGTTTTGGATTATTTTTGACTGTTAGAGCCCATTCTTCCCATTTTTCAGGTTCAATAGATTCTGCTCCACCAAGTAATTGTGATGAGTAACTAGAAAATTGTTTAAAACGTTCATCCACTTTACGCTGATATTCTTGAATTGTAGAAGCGTCGTTAACAAAACTAAGAAAACTTCGTGTAACTTGTTCAGTAATCCACGTTTCTGTCTGTTCATATGTTAAACATTTGTCAAACCAAGTTTCTGCCCAAACTTGACCTCCCATTTGTGATGCAACGACTACATGTGTCCCAAAAGAAGTAATAAACGTTTCCCAAACACTAATATTCTTTGAATCAAACGCCAAAGGAAGACTAGCAAATAATGTTGTAGCAAGAGGATTTAATTTTGGATAGGGAAAAATTGATACAGAGAGTGTATACCAACCAATTTGTTTTAAACGTAATACTAAATTGTAATAATCTTGATAGAAACGTCGATAAAACTCTGCTGTACGTCTTCGACTTAGAAAACCGTGTCGTTCCCATACTTCAACTCGCGTCGTATATCGATAATAATCTTCTACAGATGTTACTGTCACTGTTGCGTCCTTAAATCATTCTAATTATCGAATATTATCATGTGTACATATTTACTTACCATAGCTAATGATTCTGGTGTATTCGTAGCAAAAAATCCATTTGGTAATGAATAAGAAAGACTTTGATTATACGGATCTGTCCAAAGTTCATTCTGACTTGAATTGGATATATCTAAAATGCAGAAACGACTTTCTAGCGTAAGCAAATCATATCCACATCCGACCACATCAAGACCAAATATAGGTGTAATTGATCTGGGTGCTGATGAATAAAATCGTGTTATTTTTTTTCGCGAATTAAGTTGAGCTAATGTTGGTAGAAAACCATTATTAAGATAAAAATCAATAGTTCGACGAAGATGTTCTTGTACTTGGTTGTTACTGCTGATAAGATCAGCAATATGAGATAGAGTACGATTGATAATAATAGATTTTTCACCTGCATTATTTATCCATGTTCTAAAAATCAATAGAACATGTAAGTAATCAATATATAAAAAAAAAATCATAATTTACTGTAACATCGATTGATTATTAACAGTGACTAGGGATGGTTGAAAAGTAGACATTGTATAAGAATTTTTCTTGAATTTTTCGGTAACTTTTTCATATATTTCTTCAGTTTGACTTTCAGTGTGAAAGGTAAATTCTTCATGTTTTGCTGTAAGCGAAATTTGTTGAGTCATTTCTTCAAATGTTGCATTTTTATGATAATTTTCTCCAACAAATGTATATAAATGAGCTATACCGCCTACAATCACATTAGATACATAATAAGTTCCATAGTTTTGAATAAAATCATTATATAATTGTTGATGAACTTCAGAATTTGGATTAGCAGCTTGAGAAATCAATAGATTAACACTGGTGTTAAACATTGGATCAAATCTAAAACAAAATTGAATAGAATGTTGATAAGAATAAATGTTTACTTTAAAAGAGACAACGATGCAAGTTGAAGCGAATAATGATTCCACGAAATTGTTGATGTTCCAACAGCTTGTGAATATTTAGTTATTGCTTCAAAGACGCGTTTTAACATTTCATGATATTCAACACTGAATGATGGACTATTCAGTCCTGAAATTCCAACATCAAATGTATTTGTCTGAAAATAACTGAAAATAGAAAATCAAATATTTCTAATATAAAACTTATTTTGAAAAACAAAATCAAAAAACAATACCTTTTATAAAATTCTGGAAAAGTATAAGATATTGATTGACACTTATTTTCTTTACGAGTACTTATATCTTTCACTTGTACAAATAAAGGTATAGCATATTGATATTCTTGATTCAATGCTTTAAGTATAAATGAAGTATTACTTTTTTCATTTAAATCAAATATACGAAATCTTGAACGTTGTTCAATTGCTGAAAGCATTTTAACTCCATCGTATCCTGATTGAAGATCATTGATACCAGGCAAAAATCCAGTCTCTTATGTTGTGGAATAAATGAAGAAAGAAGAAATAAAAATGAAATATCCTATAAACATCTAAAACAAAAGATAAATAATTATGAAGAGTTATATTCTATAATTCTAAAATGAAACTGTTTGACAATAAGTATATTCATATGGATACGAAAGATCACATAATGAACTTTGCGGATGAAGACTGTCCGTAGCACAATATTTTCGATCTGCTGACGCGATTATTTGAAAATTAAAGACATTGATGCAATTTGTAGCTAAAGTTCTTCTTAAGTGAATACCTTGTACATGTATTTCATTGACGTATCGTCCAGTATATGTCTCTGATATCGTGCTATTATCGCATGTTGCAAAAAGTTGGTAACCATCTTGTCGAATATGAACTTGACATCCAAATTCATCTAATGGTTGTACAGTACCAGTCAGATAATAACGAGGTATCCAGTTGTTTGGTTCGACAGAACAATTTTGATCATTGCTTGAAAAATAAAGATTTGGTGATATGCAATATTCGAGACGAGGACAATACTTATTACAAACATAGAATGATCGATAATCATCAGGATTTGTATAGATAGCAGTAGAATTTGGACAATCAAAAGCATTTGTTCTAATAATAAAACATAATAAAACTAGAATAATAGTATTCTTCATTTGTTTTACACAATCAAATTAGTAAATTTTAAAATGATCTACAATAAAACGAGCTTATTAAATGAATTATTTAGAAAATGAATTTTGTTATTTTTTTTTTTTTTGAAGGAAGTTTATCAGAATAAGAATTTAATATGTCTTACAATAATTTCCTGAATAATTTTCAGGAAAATCACATTTTGAACTAAGTGGATGAAAAGTTTCGTAGTAACAATATGCTCTATTACCGTTTGCTACAACACGAGCATCGAATACCGTAATACAATGATTTACTAATCGATGTACTGTTTGAATTCCAATCGCATGTGTTTCATTAATATACCGTGCAATTACTGTATTATGTGTTGTACTTGTCTCATGTGAAATAGATAAACTGTATCCTTGTTGTTGAATAAATACATCGACATTTTCACGAGACGTAAATTGACCCGATAAATCATAACGTGTTTGCCAATTTGGTGGCTCTGGAACACATGATTGATTAGTTCGTGTGAAATAAATTGTTGGTAATAGACAATATTCAATCCTATAGCAGTAGTTTGAACAAACATAATAAGATCGATAATCATCGGGATTTACATAGGTGCCATTTGAACTTGGACACAAAAAAGCATTATTTGCACGAATAATAAATGCCAATAGAAATAAACCAGCATACATATTGAGAAACCAATGCTTTCATAATGTTAAACTGGACTCTATTTATACGACATGATTGCTACATCATTCTTAAACACATTATGTGTCCTAGGATAATTTATTCATTCATTAATTTTATTGCAGAATATTTTCGCTTGAATAATTTTAAAACGACGAAAAAAACATGTATTACTTCCTTTCACGAATCATTAAAGTAGCCAAATAAAGTAACGAATTTCGAGTTCGCTAAAAACTTCATATATATAATCACATATAATGTATGTGGAAAAACATAATTTTATGCAAACTATTTCTGGATCATACTCAAATATAAAAAAATCCTTTTGAGTATGTTTTTCATCTGCCATTTTTGCATAAATATTATACATGAAAATAACGAAAGAACTGATCTGTTAACAGATATTTTATGCAATTATGAAAAAAGGTATGCATGACTAATCAATATTTTCTTGGAAAGATTTGATGATGAATAATAAACTTGTCTGCAAGAAAATTTTGCACTCTATTAATCCTCTTCCGTCTTCCACAAAGTCCATTTTCACGAAAGTTAAAAAGTGATGTTTTTTAATATAAACATGTAGACGTGTCACCTACAGCTTCTAATTTAAAAATGCATGAAAACACTCAGCAAGTTTTATATATTATGTTCATGTTCAACTCGTTTTCAATATGCATTGTTATACAAAACGGTAAGTACTTTAATTTGATAGCATAGTATCTGTTTCCTTAGATAAGGACAAAGGGTTCCTGAAGCAAGCTGAATTCATAGAGATACGATAGTCTATTGAAAAAAAAATGAGTAATACTTTTTTTAGAATATTGAAGATTTTAGTTTCGATGACGACAAAAAGATGCAAATTAAAATATCCTTTATCTTATCCAAAGTAATACAGTGTTCTCGTTCAAATATAAGTACTGACAGATTCATAGTTGAAATCAGATTGTAAAAACAAATTATATACGTAAAAAGTCCATCATAAACTCTTGTCTCTGGAAAACTCTTGAAAAATAACATTTGAAAATCTAATAAAATTTTATTGATTTTCTTTTTATATGCTTAATGTTTGAGTTACGTTTTATGGAAACATCATTCTTAGTGTCAAAAATTGGTTTCATAGACGAGGATGGACGATCTTTATAAGTCTAAACTTATTCATGTTAAATTATAGAGAACTGATTTTTTTTTATTGTTGGAATCATACAGTATGATTGCATATAAGAATTCGATGCAAATTTGTCAAATTTTCTTTTTATATATTCCATAAAACTTGTGAAATGTGCTATTAGTTATTTATGTTACATAGAAATAAACAAAATGAATAAGACTTTGAGAAGTTGGAATTATCCAAACAAAAGATTTATTCTAGATCAATCAATATATATGACAAAAATTTGAACAGAATCATTTATTCAATTTTAATCCATCGTCGAGTTGAACGCCAACCACTTTCACGAGATGAATCTTCTTTTTCCCATCTAATATATTTCTGGTTCCAACCAAGACAACCTCGATAATGATCTAATGGACGACCTGTTTCTTTTGGATGTACAATAATCATATTTATTATACGACCATCATAACTTGCTAATGCTTTACTATCATTAGTGTTGGAATAACCAACTAATTGACCCATTTCAATACAAAATTTCATGCGATAACGATGATAAGGATAATCTTCCCACAAACCACAAAAAGCTATTAACTGTTCTTCATACTTGTCCATATCACGTAACTAAAATATTAATGAAGAAATAATTAAATCTTTATGAAAACTCAACAAATTTTATTGTTTTCATTATTTGAAGAAAAATAAACGATTACTGATACTTACACATTGTTCAAGAATATCAATTCGTTGAGCAACTGGTTGTTGTTGAATTTGCTTATCCTTGGACACGTGAACTGGTTGAGATGGTGATTGTTCTTTTTTCTTCATTTTTGAATCATGAGTCGATGGATTATCTGAAACTGTAGTAGTTTCATCAAGTAAATTCGATTGAGTAAATGTACAATTGAATTGTAGAAAATAGTCATCATGCCACATCTTGACTTGAACAGAAATATTTTGTATACGTATATGACCGAGTGAACTGATGTATTCGCCCACTATATATATCTGCATAAAAGCAGACGAACATATGAAATTAGACAACCTGATTGGTTGTTGTAAGTCGACATTTTGTTGCCGTCTATTCAATGCTTGACTTGTTTTTGAAAATGAAAATAGGCAGTAAACAACAAAGCAGACGCTACTGACTATAACAAAATATGAAAGAGCTCAGCTGAAAATGCTCAACTGTATTTGCTTTCATTTTCACGAATTGATTATAAATAAAACAGATGGCTGATTTAATGATATAGTTTTCCACGAAAGTGTGTAACAAACAACGAATATGATGTATCAAATTATTATTTACATGAAAACATAATATAAAAAATCAAAATGACAAGAAAAATGAACCGAAAAAAGTTTTCTAAAGTTTTAATTAACATTTCAAGTGGTTGCTTCTTTTATTTTGCTCTATATTTGTGATATTAGGTTATTAAAATATCACACTTATTTTAATCATATATTCTTTATTCTCATACAATTGTTTACGATTGATCATTATCTGATATAACTAATATAAGTTCTTTGAATAAAATATTTTATATAATGATTTAATATATATATAGTATGAAGAAAGGAAAGGTGTTTAATTAATAGTTGCTGAATAAATCGATTTTTGCTAGAGTTTTCTCTTTTGTAGCTTAACATATTAGATTCATTATTTTCCTTTATTGATATTTTAAACTAATAATAAACATGTAGCGTTGTATTTCTTTTAGATGAGTTTCCATAATCAGAGTAGATGTCATCTTTCTTTTTCGATTTAATGTGATCAAATGATACAACTAATAATGTTTCTTCAACATGCAGACAGAAAAAAATCTGTTAGTTTGCTTGGTTTCAAATAGAATTTCGTATTCAATGTGACTACAATTAATAGGAGGTATCAACAAAGTACATCTAACTGCAACTATGCATTTCTTTTAGCTACATAAAATAAACATAAAATATGTTGAGACATATTATTGATGACACAAATCAACAGTTAAGATCACCTTTACAAGCTTAAACAGAGCAAAGATCAACGAAATGAATGTTATATATGCATAATTATGCAAACTATTCAAAGTCCTTTGTTGTGAAAATGAAGAAAAATATTAAGAGAATATTTTCATAAGAAATATGCTTTTACATGTTTTCTTTTTTTTCACTCATAATTGATGAAAAGACAGTAGATCAAGACAAGAAAAAAATAATTCGAGGAATAGCAGAAACGAAATTCTACGTTTTCTTATCAAAATAATAATTAATACAGTATGTCAGAGAGATTCAAACAAACCATTGAGCTTGCCGCAAACCATGCCAAGATTTCAAATAACTTGTCGGACTATCATATTTTTTTTTCCTAAATTTTCAATAAAAAAAATTGATTTTTGCAGCTGCAAGATGAGAAATAAGTTTTTTTATTTTCTAGATTTGATATATTCATCATTTATTGTAGATTCCTATTACATTATTCATTGTGGATGCAGTTTTTCATTGCACCTATACTGAAAAAAAAATAACGATTCCATCCTCAAAAGTCTAGACGACTTTTTTTAAATAAATACCATGCAAAATTTCATACCACTATATAGCTTGTAATGAAATGAAACTTTTTACAATGAATTTTAGGACGTTGTAATGTGTTTTTTTTCAAGTCCTGCTTATAATCTAGTTATCTCGATATTCATAGCGTGTTTTGTACTATTTACAAAATCTCATTATGAAAATGATTGACATGCTCTAACATGATCTATTTCGCACATGGGAATCGCTTACTTTGAACTGTATTTAATTGACGTACAACGAAATTATATGCTTTAGTGAGCTTATAATGATTTGTTTACTCTTCGTATGAGTTCTCATATGTAAAAGTAGTTTTTTTCTTCAATTGACGATATGAAACGTCTTATGAATATAATCATGAAAGAATAATATAAAATAAAAGTTGCCATTGAAGATAGGGATGAACATATAATTTTTTTTGGTTTTATTTATTTCTCTTTCATAACAAACAAGAAGCTTAAATGATGATTAACAAAAATATTTGCTTACCCCGAAAGTACTATTCTTAAAATAGAACAATGAACTCTAAACCGGAAAGAGCCTTCGACAAAAATAGAAACAATTTTCTTTGAAAAATTCAGAGAGAAGAATTGAACTGTAGACACAGATTAGTTCTCATCAAAAGAACTGTTTGAACAGTTGATCAGATTGCAATTTTTTTTCGGAACCATTCTACCCTAGTGAGTGCAAGATTAATTACTTCAATGAAGCATGTAACCGTATAGATACTTGTTAAACAAAGATAAGTCGTTGTCGGACAGCTAAAATACAATGTGATATTAAATCACATTGATCAAAAATGAAACCATGTTCAAATGCCTAGTTGAATCTTGATATTTTTGAAATACAAAAAAAATAAAGAAGTTTATACTATGTGTTCAGGAGTATTCAAAATTGCCATATAAGAAAACCTGAAATTTTACTTTATCCCACGAAAATTTAAAATTTTCCTAGATTCTGGTTTCTTCTGAATTTAACACTGTATTAAAACAAAAAATAAACTTATTGATTCAAAAAATGTACGTACGACTGATATTTTAATGTATTTATATATCTATATGGGTTGTTGTAAGATGAAAGAAAAAAATTTCAACTTCATTTGTGATTACTTTCGATTACATTGTATATTATTTTAGACATTGTAATATCATAGTGTAAAATACAAGGAACTAATAAAAAAAACACAAGACTTTTATTCTAAACGTCAAATTCTTTGTTTTTAGATGAATGTTCATCATACGCAATTTCAAAATAGAAGTAGTGTTAAGCTCTATATCAGTTTTGTTTTGAGAAAATATTACTAAAAGTAACTCGCTTAAAAATCTTCATGAATGACGACATTTTTTTGTGGACTTTTCCCTTGTTTATACAAAATCTAAGGTAGAAAAGAGAGGAAAAAAAAGTCAAACTATTTAAGAATATTAATAGAATAGTTACATTCTTCAAAACTCTTTCATTATAATGTATGAATTTGTGCTGTATGTAATGGTTGACATAAGTCCATGGAATATATAATATCACCTACAAGAAAAATTTCATAAGGTCTAATAGAAAGCCATTGATTTTTCAAAAACTTAAAGAATTTGAGATCTTTCAGCACCTTAAAACATCATTTTGCTGTAATCAAAATGTCTATTCTTTTAGTAGAAATTCTGATTTCCCAATATTTAGTTACTAAAAATATTCTTTTGAATATCGTAATAGTTTTTCACACTTTCTTGGCTTCCTAGATAGATATTGGCCAAAAACAAGTTCTCAATAGAAGACCATGGTCTTTTATTCAAGAAGAAGGATTTAATTCATTTGTATCATAATCTCTATAAGTCAGAAAAACATTTTACAAATTCTAATATAAGTTCTCCTACATAGAAAATGCATGTAATAATAATATTGAATCAATATGTAGTAATTCAAAAAATAATCAACGAACATCAATAATTATTAGACATTATTATTATTATTGCCATCATTCAGTATTAAATAAAGCGGAAAAAAATCTTGGACAAAAAAACCAAGTTTCTAATCATAATATAATGGCTGCATTTATTAAAAGTTATTTTAGAGAAAGTTCTTTCGGATAGTTTACGTGAATAACTCTTCAGCAATTCCAATCATTTACTTGCTTTTTAAAAATATAATGAATTATTTGTTTAAGTTTTGTTTTATATAATTTGGTTTATAATAAACGTTCGAAAAGACTGCTATCATCAATTGCCATATAAAAATCCATCCTATTCAAAATGGTTACAAAAAAACATTGTAGAAAGTTTATTTTAAAATTAATTTGTTTTCTTTCCTTTATCATTTCTTATTGCAAAATAACTACTCGAATCTTATTCATGCTCAATTAAGAGACCATTTTGTTTCTACAACTATCATGATTTTAACTTATAAATCTGTTGTAAATATGTTTATGTGAATCATAGATAAGTAGTACTTTCAAGCTAAAGTATAAATAATGCCAGAACATTTGTTATTTTTTTTTAAATGACTAAAATATCCATTTTATCCACAATATGACGTAGAATCAAACTTCATAACTACACTTATGAATTATACGATGCAAGAAAAAGAAAAATATTACATACAAAATGCTTAAAAAGATATGTCGAAATCATATCTGATATATACCTATGAAAACTAAATATTATCATAAATTTAAGCTCATTTGTTAGAATCAATAATACGTATTTGTCTAAAATATATAACAATTATACGTGTTTTTCTTGTGTAAGACTAAAAATCAATATAGTCATGATTATTTTTGTGTTCTTTTTCTATAGTGTGAACATCGACAATAGAATAGAAAGAGAGAATATATGTTTTAATTGTTCTGTTTTCTATTTGTCCTTAATTGGCTCAATTAAGTAAACCATGTAAACAATCAATAATTAATATCCTCAATATTAGGATTAACTGAAAGTGGTGTTATCGGATTGTTAAAGAAGAGATAGATAAATGTTCGTTTTCAATCATTCCATCTAAAAAATGTCAACTTCGAAAGCACAATCACGTGAACCTCTTAATACAAGACAACGATCAATTCTTACTGCATTTTATGATAAAAATCCGTATCCATCAGCAAGTGAACGTGAACAACTTGTTCAATTGACTGGTCGAACATTGAAACAAATTCAAGATTGGTTTTCTAATCGACGAGTAAGTGTCTATTTACTCTCTATGTTTATATCTCATTTTGTGTATGTTCATAGCGCAATGATCCAAAGTTAGTAACGGGTAAAGTAACTTCTACTTCGTTACCTCAAACACCTCCATCAATAGTAAGTGTTCTATGTATATGTTTCTCTACTTTTATTAATTATGTACTTCTAGCCAATGCAACCAATTTACTACTATACACCTGCACCTCCACCGATGTCAACCATTTGTCCATGTTGTTACTTCACTCAATCGTCTTCAGTAATTGATCAATCGATTTATCCTCCTTGTCCAACATTTTACTATCCTCCATCAAATAATACTTTTCATTCGTGAAGATGTCATTTAATTTTTCTTTCTTCGTTTCTTTTTTTTCTTTTAAAATAAACTAATCAAAAGAATCAATTATTTCTCTATTCGGATTCACTATTTCTTCTTTAGATTTGTAGAGAAAAATCACAAAACTATGCAGTATTGTTCTCTTTGTATATCAAAACATGCACTCGGAACTAGCGTTATTAATAGGCATCTGAAACAGAATATGTTAAATTATCTATTTTTTAATCACAAAATATTTTTTGAGATTTTGTTTTAAATAATAATGTATCTCAAAGTATCTCGTGATAGCAAAGATTGAAGAAGAACAAAGACAAAGTTATAACTGTTTGCATTTTTTAATAAAAAAATATGTTCATATTTAACAAAATATAAAAAAGGTAAAGCAATAGTTTCAAATATCCTACAAGAACAAGAAAAAGATTAAGTGAAAAGCTATTGGTAAAAATAAATTTCAATAACGATGATGAATTCGATAATAGTAAAAAAAAAAAGAGTTTTTTTTTAACTTTATCTAAAACTAGAATTTATCAAGAAGCGAAAGACGAGCAATTGCTAGATAATGACATTATAAATGAGTATAGTACTTTTATATTTTACAAATAACCATCAAACTAGTTTGTTTTGTATAGTAAAGGCGAAAACATGTTTCTTTCACAAAATAGTAAGTATCTTGAATACTTTATTTTTGTTTGCGGTATTTAATGTTAAAAACACTGCTCAGAAGTTATTCGACATCATATGATCTTTTCCAATAAGTAAAATATAATTCTTTGTTTAGTCGAGATACATAAATCTATGATTCATTTCAACTGGACATACATAAACGCACGTTTATTTCTTTTTTTTCCTACATATACACTTTCTCGTTCGAGTCTAGGGTGGACTACATATAACATAAACGATTTTTCTAATCCATACAATATACGCAATTAACCTTCAGTTACTGATGATGATGATGTCAGTTCCATCTTCGTCATTTCATGATGTGAGTAAATAGAATTTTTATTTTGTTCTTATATAATAAGAATCTTAGTTTAATGCTATTTATTAGTATTTGGCAATCGATTCTTACTTGCCGAAAATGGAAGCAATGACACCAATACAAATAATTGACGATCAATTTGGACAAACATTTGATAACAATACTAATACTATAACTACTACTAATAATAATGATAATCATAGAAATAATAACAACTCAGTAGTTAAACGGCCAATGAATGCATTTTTATTATGGGCACGCGGTGAAAGAAAACGTGTATCTAGTGATGGTTATGGTGTTAGTCAAACATCATTAAGTAAACTTCTTGGTGAAACATGGCGGTAGAAAAAAAAAACTTACTATGATCAATGATTTGTTTTATTTAAAAATACTTTTAGACATATGTCAGTTGAAGAGAAACAGCCATTTTTGGATATGGCCGAATCTTTAAAACGTCAACATCACATTGATCATCCAGATTATAAATTTAAACCAAAACAACGTTTAACAACAGTTAAAAAGAATCATTCATTTATACGTTTGTTTTATTATACGAATATAAATTTTTTAATTTGTATTGATTTTTCTTTTTGTAGCTCAAAGACAATTATCAACTATGATACCATCATCATTACATTGTACATCATCTAATTCGTATTCTTCCCAAGCATCATTATCACCTATTCCAAGTTTAACTCCTCATCCTGTACAATCAAATGTTTTAACAATGTGTCAAGCAATTATTTCAACATCATTATCTGAAAATAATAATGAATGGTTTAGTCAATTGACTGCACAACCTCAAACAGTTATTGTTACACCTATATCTCGAACTCAAACATCTCCTATATCATCACGTCGAGCTGTGCGTATACAAATAATTAATAAACATGATGATATTGCTTTACCTTCACCAACATTATTACCAATGACACCTCCAGCACCAACATCATCATCATCATTTGTTATTAATGAATCAACACCAACATTAGTCGATTATCTTGTTGATAATTGTAATATATTTAATATTCCTACTAGTAACCATCAACAAGTATTAACATCTGATATGAATGATTCAAATGGTAAATGAATATGTCGTTTATTTTAAATATTTAAATTTAATTTTTTGTTTGTATGTGTTTTATAGAATATGAAACATTAAATGATTCATCAATCAATCATTTAGTTGATCTAGATCAACATTATGATAGTAATAGTTGGATCGATACTCCTTTATCAAGTTTTGGTACCAATTCAACAGATATGGTGTCATCATCGCCATATACATCTTATGATTTTTTATGCCTCTAACCTTTATTTACTTGTTTTTTTTTTCGCTTTATTTTACGACGGTAAAATTCTACATAGAGATATAAGTTAAAGATAGTATAGTATTTTTCTTTACTTCATTTTTTTTTCTTGTCTTATCCTTGTGTTAATACGAAAGTAAACTTATGCGCGTGCCATTTAACTTTTCTCTTTTTCGGCTTTTGCTTGTGTTCTTATTTTTGGTTTTTTTTTTTCTCTATATATTTCTTTGTGTGTTTGGTTCATGTATATGAGTGCATGTTGTATAACAAAAGATTCAAACGAAAAAAAAAAAAAAAAGAAAATGAATGGAAATAAAAACATTCGCATGTGCTCTTAAAAGATTTTATTACTTAATATTATATTTTTAATGATTTGTAACGGTAAAATTCAGAGTGAAAAGAAAAAAGATAAAGTTTAGGCACAATGATCATACAGAGAGTGAAAGTAAGCAACCATAAAACTTTAAAAGAAGAAATGTTTGAATAATTTTGATAAATATTTGTTCGATTTGGTATTTTTATCTACAAGGCAGAATCAATCATATTTGGTCATTAAATATTTCAGGTGCTTGAAATTCAAAATTTTAGTAAACTCTCATTTTCAATTTAACTAGTGTCAGTTAATAGATTACATCGAGTTATCTATGGCAAATTACTTTTTCAATTATTGAAAACGAATTTTTTCTCAAAATAGTAGGAAAAAACCTAAGCTGTAAATATCACCATCATAGTCGTTCATTGTCATAGATATATAACTATTTGATTTTTTTTTGAATTTTATAGGACATTATAAGAATAATTTCTTGGTTGTGCAGACAAAATTAACCAAGAAGATATTATATACTTAAGATTTTTTAGTCTATTTGATCTTCTGCGTAGTATAACCAGAGTTATATTTGCAAATTCTAGTAGTTGAGAATCTCGTTTTGGGTTTTATTTCAGAGATTCTTGCCTTAGAAAACTAGCAATCATTTGCATCCTATACTATTCTTATTGAAAATAAAATTGTCTGCGCAAACAACTATTTGAATTTTTATTAGTGGTTAGGGCAGTGGAGAAAAAATTGAAAATGAATCTTGATGTATTATATTTGAAGCCATTGTATTCATATAAATTAAGCAACGATGTTGAATTAATGTCAGACTCAGTAGTACTCCAACAGAAATCGATAGGAAGCTGATTCTTCTTTTTGTTAGATAGAGCACGATCTGTATTTTAAAAAGACATGTTTTGCCGACTACTTCTTATGTACTAGTAATAAAATATCATTTTAATGTGTTCAAAACCACGAAAAAGAAAACTATCAAAGATTTGATCGGTGAATAAATTGTATATCTTAACAAGTGCATGCACTTCTTTGAACTAAAATTAGATTTAGATTGTCTGTTTCCTTAGATTTTACTTCAAGAAACAAGATTAATTCAAACATACTCTATTTATAGAGATCTACTGTATGAAAATTTTGTGCTTGTTATCTCTGAATACTTTCTTCTGTCATAGTCGATCTGGTTCTAATTGTTTATGACCAAAAGAGACAATAAGTGATCAGATTTTCGAACCATGGCTATGCATATTCCTCCAAAACAATGAAGTATTCTGTCAGAAACAAATAAAGAATAGTGAAGATTTACTATAATTTTTGTGCATAGCAGAATGCGATATAATTGTTTCTGTAATCTACAACAGTCAGCCTAGAAGATTACATGTTAGCTAAGGTTATTGACTTTTTTTTTCTTGAAGAAAATTGAAACTGATTTTGTGATTAGTGCATAAATAGTAGTCGACGAAGTAATTCGTCCTAAAGTAGAGATAACGTTCTATCTAACACAAAAAGCATAAACATTCTATCACTTGCTGTTCAAATATGGCTGAAGTCTGGAATTTGTGCAACAATATTCGCAACATTCGTCAAAGTCGATTGAAATTATTTCAAACTTAATTTTGATCAATTTCGAAGACTTGAAATTCGTACATCGCTAAATACGAGTGACAGTGTGATTAAAGAAAAATACAAAAAAAAAGAGAAAAAGAATCTTTTTTGCACTTGTAAGTTTTCGTTTTGTTTAATAATGATGTTATGAATAAACAAGTTTATAGTGTTCGTAAATACAGAATGGTTTAAAAGTAAGAGCATACGGAATTTTTTTGATTTTTTTTTGTGTACATCGCCAGTTAGCTCTCATATTTATACCACAAATAGTAAGTGATACTAGTGAAAAACATGGGATATAATCAGTTTTTGGATGCAAGAGTTTGCTAAAAAACATGTAGATATATCTTACTACTCATCTGTGAATCTACGAAAAAATTCAATGTTCTTCGATTTCCATAGTTTTATCTCTTTATCTCGATCTATGAAATGGATCCCATTTAATTACATTTTTTTATGGTTTAGCGTAAAACATGTCAAAATGAATTCCATAGGATTCATTTTAGAGATCGGGATAACGAGGTAAAACTTATGAAAATCGAAAACATCAAATTTCTCATACAGTTATAGACGAGCAGTAGGACTTATTTGTACTCTTTTAAGATCTGACTGTGGCCATGTATAAAAAAGAAATCGGAAAAATTCTGTGTTCTCTTACTTTTGATCCATCCTGTACATTTCGTTTTCTGAAACAATGATTTAATAGAACTGATTAATAGAAAAAACATTTTTTAATTAATCTGAATTAAAAAAAGAAATTACCCCCCATAATTTCCTTTATATTTTATTCAATTGAGAATTGTTATTAAATTTTATTCTGCTGTTTTTTTTATTCACTCCAATTCAATTGACTAGTTGAATTAAAATTAGATGTGTTCATTTATCTCTTTGAAAATCAAATAACATTTGTAAATGATTCAACAATAGGATAATAATGTGATCTCACAAATTGAATCAAAATCCATGTGTAGATCACAGTTTTACCCAATTGAATGAAATATTTCAAAATATAACAATTTGAGTACCTAAATCGTAACAAAAATACCGATATGAGCATTATGATTTATAAATATGACGTTCAAGCATAGTATTTTCAATATAGACAATGGATATGTATATCTATGCCATTACAAATAGATCTATTAATTTTCAGAAAATAACTTCTTGAATATCAATAATTAATCTTACCTTACTCTTGTTCGTCTACTATGAAGAATTTTTATTTGAATGAGTTTAAATAAGCTTCGACTTGATGTCTTATATTTCGAATAAGAACTGATAAATTATGAGTGGACAATGATGGATGAAATTGGGATGAATGTTTATTTCATGAGCAGATAAGACACGTCTTTCTTTTTTCATCATCGAAGAATCTTTTAAAATAATCCATCATAATCATATGATATTGTGTTCGTGTATGAATGTTTTGTTCTGTTCTATTTGAAAAAAAAACATTGTATAAAGCAACATTCTGCTTCTTTTTCTTTTTCTAAAAATATTTGACGTCTTTTACCCACGGTTTTGAATATTTTATCGTGTTGGTTTTTATTTTCGTTAAAATTTCTTATTTGAAGATGAAATATAAAATTGAATTTTTAATTTTGTCCTGTGTGTGACAACATTGGGAAAAGAATGGAAAGCATTTGTGGTTTTTGTTTAATGGATCAAAACAAGAATATGATTGTAGATCTTATTAATAGGAGAAAAAAATGAAAGTATATTTAATCATATGAAATTGTTTGAAAAATACCTAGAATCATATCAATTTTTTATTATTTCAAAAATGCAGTAGATTGCTCGCCGAGAGTCATATAGAATTTAATAGGTGTTTATTTGATTGATGAACTTGCCAAAGTTATTCATCACTTTTGAACTTATATTTTGATTAAATAGAAAGAACCTTTAGGCAAGAATAACTCTTTCAAAATGATTCGGGCCTATAGACCTTTTCTACGAAATGACAACAATGTCATCTGATTTTTACTATTCGAAAAAAATATTTGTAGAAAGATTGTACAAAAATTTTTCGATTTGTATTTTCATTTTGTAAGTAGATCTCATCATTTGAAGGATGTTCTAAAAGCTTTTATTAACATGACTGCTTTCTGCTTGAAATATACAATTTCCACAAATCGTTTAGATTTCAGCAATGTTCAGACAAAAAAAAATACGAAAGTTTTGGAACACTCAACATTTCAAATGGGAAGCAATCATGTTAACAAAAGTTTTTAGAATAATCTTTGATTGATCAGATATAATTACACAATAAAATTTTGAATCAAAAACTTTTCTTACGATTTTTCTACTAATATGCCATTCTTTAGTAAAATTCAACGAAAACTGTAACTTCGTAGAGATGAACTAGAAGCCCAAATTATTTTGATTCTTTTCGAGTCTAGACATCTTCTTTCTATTCTGAAAGAAAATAAGTTCCAAAGTAATGATTTACATTGTGTAATTCTCCTGTTAGCCTACTGAGAACTTAGTTAAATAATATTCATCTTCTGCTGTTTCTTACAGATGACGCTAGTTTTCGAGTAAAATTTTCTTATATATATATACATATATATCGATAAATATAATAATATTAAAATAAATATATAAAATAAAACCTTGAATTTTTAAGTTTTGTATTCAATTAAGTCTTACATTCAACATAAAAATCATACAAAAAGAAGTTATCCGATGTTTAGTCACCAATGAAATCATAGATGCATCATATTATTCTTAAAATAGCTAACGTCAAAAGAATCTATTTTGGTCAATAAAATTTGAGTTGAGTACGTTCTTCAAATGAACACAAGTCTATTTATTAACTAACTATCTGTTCCGTTTATTATAAATGTTTCAGATAATTAGTTTAAAAATTAGATTTTGTATTTTGATTGTTTTTATTGGTATTTATTATCATCTTATCAATAAAAACGAAAAAATGTCTTCTACAACAGTAACAACAAACGCCGGTGTTCAAATGCCTCGTTTGATCTATGGCACAGCATGGAAAAAAGAAGCTACAAAAAACCTTGTCATTCAAGCTGTACTTAATGGATTCCGTGGAATTGACACCGCAT